TATACAACTTCTGCCTCCATGTATGCCCACATGCCAGAAGAGGGCACCAGATCTCATTATAGATGGCTGTGAGCCACCATGTGGTTGCTGGGAATTGAACTCAGGACTTCTGGAAATGCAGCCAGTGCTCTTAACCTCTGAGCCATCTCTCTAGCCCTACTATGAAGTAATTTATCATTAAGAATTTCTAGGGGGCTGGAGAGATGGCTCAGAGGTTAAGAGCATTGCCTGCTCTTCCAAAGGTCCTGAGTTCAATTCCCAGCAACTGCATGGTGGCTCACAGCCATCTATAATGGGGTCTGGTGCCCTCTTCTGGCTTGCAGGCATATACACAGACAGAATATTGTATACATAATAAATAAATAAATGAATAAATAAATATTAAAAAAAAAGAATTTCTAGGACAGGTTCCAAAGCTACAGAGAAACCCTGTCCATATTGAAAAGTTGTATTGACTTTGTCTAGGTCTTTTTGACCTGACTTGAGTAGGCTTTGATAGCTTTTATTTTTGTTATGACAAAAATTTCAAGGCTTGTATTGTGTTTCCTGTTTTAGATTTGGAGTCAGTCACTTTTCTTTTTTAAAAAATTTATTTATTGTATATACGGTGTTCTGTTGGCATGTATGCCTGCAGGCCAGAAGAGGGCATCAGATGATTGTAAACTGTGGCTGTTGAAAATTGAACTCAGGATCTCTGGAAGAACAGCCAGTGCTCTTAGCTGAGCCATCTATCTGCCCCTGGAGTCAGTCACTTTTCTAAGGCATCTTGGTGTTATATTCATATTGAACAAGACTCTCACTTTGTAGCTCAGGTTGATTTTGAACATATGGTAGTCAATCCCCAACTTCCTGAGTGATAGATTTGTGGACATGGTAGCTTACCCAACTCAGCTATACTTCTTAAATTATGAAATTTAATGTTTCTACTAAAATAACTATTTCTTGTTATTGTGGATTATGTTAAAAACTTGTCTGTTTCACTGTTTAGGTTGTTAGAATATATATGAAAGCTTAAAATACATATTCACTCAAATTTATAAGTTTTCTTCAAATATTTAATGTGTAGTGTATAATCTTATAAATTATAATCTATTTATTTTAATATACCTAAAATGCTTTCTTTGTTTAATACAGCACCAATATGATAAGATTGTTGAAGAAAGAGACTCAGAATTAGGACTTTATAAAAGCAGAGAACAGGAACAGTCATTGGTGAAGGCTGCTTTGGTAAGACAGAACAAATAGCAATAAAAACCAACTCTTAAAATACCAGCATTTAGAAAAAAGAATAATATTAAGTAGAGCCATGAGATTTGACCTGTAGAGTCAGTCTTAGATCTAAAAGGATTTTTACCTATTTTCTAGCAGAATGCTTTCCCATTTTTTTTAACGTTATAACATAAGTGTCTTTTCAACAGAAGTGTAAAAAAGTCACCTAAACTAAATTTAAAGTTTTGCTATTTGGACAGGAGAGTGGGGTGGCGTAAGTGAATATGAGTATATGTATGTATGTGAATTTGTTGTATGTATACATACGCTATTTTAGTCCTTGGGAAAACTATGAAAAACTTGAAACTTGTTCACATAGAGTCTAGTTATATTCCATTACCTAAGCCTTCATATGTATGGTTTTTTTGTTCGTTTTTTATGTTTTGAGACAGAGTTTCTCTGTGTAGCTCTGGCTGTGCTGGAATTCACTCTGTAGACTAGGCTGGCCTCAAACTCAGAGATCTTCCTGCCTCTGCCTCCTAAGTACTAGGATTAAAGGAATGTGCCATCACTACCTGACCACATGTATGAATTTTAAAAGGACATTTTCTGAGTTAATTTTGTCTATAGCTGAATTTATTTGAAGCATTAGATTACAGTTTCATTGTCTTGAGAAATATGGAAAAGCACTTACACACTTCATTTTTCTTTTTCTTTAGGAGACTGAATTATCTAATATTAGAAGTGAACTCGTGTCTCTGAAGAAGCAACTTGAAGTAGAAAGGGAAGAAAAAGTAGGTTTTGTGGCATTACATGTAATATAATTGTAGGATTTTGTGTTTTATAAATGTCATAAAATAATTTTACAAATTTGGGTAATTAATAGTAAGAAAATGCTGCTGTTCTTTTTCCTACAAACATCTTAACACATTTCATTTAACAATTATATATGTACTTTCAAGAATAGAAATATTTTCTAATATGATGTATTTGTTGAGGGTTGATGAGATGACTCTCAAGAGCATGCACTTGCTTGCAGAAGATCCAAGTTCAGTTTCCACACCCACTCTAGGCAGCTCACAGTTGCTTATAACTGCAGCTCTAGAGAGAAATCCTCTAGTCTCTGTGGGCACCTGCACTCTAGTGCACATACTCAATTTGGAGAGGTACACATAATTTAAAATAAAATAATTCTTAAAAAAGGAAATACTATATTTAGAGGGACTAGATCAGTTCCAGTCAGACTCCCTGGCTGTTAGTCCAGAATTTGAGCTCCTATGGACCCAGGATAGTTGTTTCTGTGGGTTCCCTTGTGATGACCTTGATCCCCTTGGCTCACTTAATCCTTTCTCTCTCTTCAACAAGATCCCTGGAGCTCAGCCCAGTGCTTGTCTATGGATGTCTCTATATGTGTGACAATTAGTTTTGTAGCTTCAGCTATTTGTGGGACTCCTACCAGTGGGATCAGGGTATGTCCCTAATGCTTGAGCTAGCTTTTGGAAACATATTCCCCATAGTGAGTTGCCTTGTCCAGTCTTAATATAAAGGGATGAACTTAGTTCTACTTAAACTTTTGCTGGATATAATGATCTTGAATTGGACTGTTGGCAAGCGGATATTAGACAAAAGTCTGAAGTTCATCAAAGCTATCTTCACTGTGATAGTTTTATTTCTTTCTATGTGAAGTGCCTTATTGGGCCATACTTAACTTTGCAGTCTGTGGTGCATGCAGGTTGTTTTATCCTCCTAAAACCCTCAGATCAAAATCCTTGTAGTGGTTAATGTTTCTGATGGCAGGTGTTTCTTAAGTGACTGGGAGGGGTGGGAAGCAGCTAGAGCACTGAGAGTTGTATAGAAGGACTTGACTTTGTTTTCAGTGCTTTCAAAAGAAGCAACTGTGAGGATACTCCTGGTATGTCAGAATTCTCAAGCTCTTTAGTAGTGAATAGAATGGTTCTAGAGTGTAATCTATCTGCTGGCCACCTAGAATAATCAAACTCAAGATCTGTTCACCACCAGAAATATTGGGGCTATCTCTATGCACTTTCAGCCCAAGCTGAGCCTCTTGTCACTTGTATCCTTTGACTTTTCAGTGTCTGACTTTCTTGGTCTCCACAGCTGTCACTCTGAACCTTCTCTTACCTGGGTCCTGTAATTGTGGCTTCTTGACTTGTGGTTATTCCCTAATTTCAGGTCTCCAGAGTAGCTAGGCTTTAGTAGACTTTCTCAAGATTAGAACTGGCCCCCGCCTTATGAATCATGTAGGTGACAAAATGAGATTTCTTTCTCCTTCATCAGCTCACACAGAGACAATCATCTTACTCAGAACTTCTAATTTTTAAAAATATCTTGATATGAACAGAGAGTTTCAAGATCTTCAGTTCATATTTTCTTATTCTGTGGCCAGAACTAGTACAGAGAATATGACAGTTTACTCAAAGTGTATACTTAGGATTTAAAGAATTGATTATAGTTCAGGTTTGTGTTCCTCTGTGCTCATAAAATAGACCCAGTTCAATTCTTTTAATCTCTCAACCCTGGTATACTTTCACTCTCCACTGGTAAGAAAGTTTCAATATTATATGTTCTAAGAAAGTGTTAGTTAAGAGTTCTGTGTTTAAGCCAGTAGTGGCGGCGCACATCTTTAATCCCAATACTTGGGAGGCAGAGGCAGGTGGATCTCTTTGAGTTCAAGGCCAGCCTGGTTTGCAAGAGCTAGTTTCAGGGAGAAGCCCTTTCTTGAAAAACCAAAATCAAAACAAAAAACCAAAATGCAAATAGTAGGTTATATATTTGTGCTATTATTGCAGATATTGCAGAATGCTTCCATAAGACAGCCTTTCTTCCTTTGTTTTTTTTTTTGTTTTTTTGTTTTTTTTGTTTTTTTGTTTTTTCGAGACAGGGTTTCTCTGTGGTTTTGGAGCCTGTCCTGGAACTAGCTCTTGTAGACCAGGCTGGTCTCAAACTCACAGAGATCCACCTGCCTCTCCTTTCTTCCTTTGTAAGTTAATGTTTAAAATTTGGACACAGGGCTGTTCTTTTCTACTTTTGTATCTCCAAGTTAGTCTTGTTTACCAAGACATATTTTAGGCACATTTTACTTATCATATTAGACCTTATTAGGCACTTTGGTACTAAGGAGCCATGATCTGTTATCCACCACCACAGATGTATTTGTATAAGAGCTGGTTCACACCTTTGAAATGCATTGCATCAACTGTACTAAGGGTCCATGTCAGAAAAATTTATAGTTGTGACTGTAACTGTGAGAGTGCTTTCTCTTTCCTCTAGGAGCCATGGTATCCCTAGAAGAGATACAGTATTGCTAGTTTAACAAATATACTTTGCCCTGGAGTACAATATTCTAGATCTTTAGAGCAGATCCCAGTTGTCAGTATAACCACAAGGCTAACCACTGGTAGATGATATATAATAAGAAAGATTAATAGTATTAAGTCTGTTTACTGCTATATTCTTCCATAATGAAGTGAGTTCTTTTGGTTAGGAGCAATATTGTGGGAGAGATAGCATGATGTATATAAGGTGAAAGATTCAGTGTGAATGGATACAGGCAGAGGTGTCATGAGCAGGCAAAGCAAGTTTGACTTTCTAAATTCCTGTGCACTAGGAGAATTTAGCTTCCTGAGACCTTTTTGCTTCCTAGAGGCTATCACCAATTAGTTTTATATATGACTGTCATATTAAAAATGTCTGTCTTAGTTAAGGTTTTCATTGTTGTGATAAGAAAGGGTTTATTTTATTTCACGTTTCTATATCACAGTTTGCTTTCAAAGAAAGTCAGCAGGATCTCAAGCAGGGAAGGAACCTGTAGACAAGAACTGATACAGAGGCTGTAGAGGAGTGCTGCTTACTGGCTTGCTCCCCATGGCTTGGTCACCCTGTTTTCTTTTCTTTTTCTTTCTTTCTTTCTTTTTTTTTTTTTTTTTCCAAGACAGGGTTTCTCTGTAGCTTCGGAGCCTGTCCTGGAACTAGCTCTTGTAGACCAGGCTGGCTTCAAAGAGATCCGCCTGCCTCTGCCTCTCAAGTGCTGGGGCACCCTGTTTTCTTTTGCACTCCTAGAACCACCAGCCTGGGGATAGCACCCCTCATAATGGGCTGAACTTTTCCACATCTTCAATCAAGAAAATGTGCCATACATAGGCTTGCCTAGAGTAGGGGCATTTTCTCAGTTGAGGTTTCCTTTTTTCTAAAAGGACTCTAGTTGTGTCATGTTATCATAAAACTAGCCAGCAGCACAATCCATTTTCATTTCTGTAAGCAAGACTTAGGTTTTCTATTTTAACTACTGAATAAGCCCTATAGTTTAACTCGTTACACTTTTATCATAGTTTCTTCATTTTTTTCTTGGCTGTTTCTATACATAACACCCTCTTTATCCAAAGTCAGATATTGTTTGTTAAGTTTGTATGCTTTTTGGAACTTATTAATATGTTTTTGCTTCTCAGCATATTTATTTTGTGTTAAAAGTTATTTCATTATTCAAAGTACCATTGAAATGTATTTTGTTAACATCTAGGGGAAAAGATTATTGTATCTCTCAAGACAGACCATGATTTAGATTTTTTTCAACTCTTTGTTTAGTTATTTTTCTGTATCTCTTACTCTATACTTTTGTTCATCCATTTCATTTTACAAGTAAGAAAGTTGAGATTAAGCACTTAAAGTGAGTCACTAATGATTCCACAGATATGCAAGAGAGAGGGAATAGAATCAAGAGATAAAACCAAATAGTGACTCTATAGGAATGAGTTTTATTCTTTAATAGTTGTTAGGAAATATTTTGACAAGTTTGTTTTAATTTGTATTAGTAGTACTTGATTGTTATATATACTTTGCTATTTATTTTTAATAGGAAAAACTAAAACTGGCAAAAGAAAACACAGCTATTCTCAAAGATAAAAAAGACAAGGTAAGAGTTTGTTGTTGTTGTTTTTCATTATAACCAGTTTATTTTCAGTCCAAGATGTTGGACCTAGGGCGTTGCATGTGTTAGGCAAATGTTCTGCCACTGGGGTATATCCCAGCACAAACTCATTTTTTGAACATTTATTTAGAAATAATTCTTATTGCTCATAAATAAGAAAATAACTTAAAAAAAGTCATACAATTTTTTCAAAATTTTTGCTATATTAATTTAAAGGCATTAGCTAAAATTTTAAAACATTTGTCATTTTGTTTTGTTTTGAAGTTTTAGAGACAGTTTCAATATAGTCCTTTAAAAACTTTTAATTACATTTATTCATTTCGTGTGTGTGTGTGTGCGTGCGCGCACACACATACAGGCCACAGTGCCTATGTAGAAGTCAGAGGATAACTTGTGGGAGCTGGTTCTTCTTCTATCATTTGTGTCTTTTGGATTAGATGAAGGTTGGCAGGTTATTTTCTGAGCCATCTTGCCATATACATGAAAAAATAATAAAATAAAAATAATAATTAAAATAAAATGTTATATTAGTACAGCTCCCTACAGTGGAAATTCCAGTGTAGAGAAGAGTTAATCCAGCCTAATCTACATAGAGAGTTCTAGGATAGGCTCCAAAGCTACAGAGAAACCCTGTCAAGCAAAACCAAAAACCAAAACCAAAAACAAAAAAACTTTGGCATAGAGTAAATACCATATAAGGTAAATACAACAGAGAGAATTGAAACATTTGAAATATAATATTCAGAAAAATTATGGTGTTTACAGAAATACATATTTTATGATTATTTTCTTTATTGTGAAGAAAAATGTACTCTCCAAGGGATATCTGTGTGAAAGCCAGGGTTGTCTTTTCTTTTAGGCTATCAGATAAATGGCATTTCCCTGACATGGCCACAAGGTGGTGGAACAATGATTTTAAATTGCTACTCAGATTTAGTTGAGGAAAATTTGTCCTGGAAGAGCTACAATCTGGAGATTCCAAGTATTTCCTCTGATGAATTCAATCTAGAAAGCAGAAAAAACATGAACTTTCAGTTATGGTATAGTAACATGTATGAAAAGGAAGCAGAAATGCAATTGAAAAAAACACGTGCTAGGCCTTTACTTTTCATTTTGAGAGGCTAAGATTGCTGTAAGTTCAACAACAACTCGATATACATAGGAGTCCCAGACCAATTCTCAAAAAAGAAGTCCAGAAAAATTAAAACTTTCTACCTGCTGGAAAAATGGTTATGAAGTGATAGATCATTAGCATGAAGCAATAACAGAATCATTTTCATTTAGTAGATTCTAGATAGGCAAATTTAAGCCCGGAGATATGCTTGTGATTACCTGGTAAGACCGTTATATACCCAGAGATGAGAATATTATATGCTCCTACTTTAATTTTTTAAATACTACTCATAGTCATTTAAATTTTAATTTTTATTTAACATAATTTCTTTACTGATTCTTTGGGATCAGTACATCCCAAATTGAGTACATCCTGTACCTCAATTTTACTTACCTCCCAGGTTCCCCATATCTGCCCCTCACCCTTACAGCATTTCCCCCAAAAGAAAATGTAAAAAAAAAGAAATTAAAAATTAAAAAATTCAAACCAAACCAACTAACCAAACAAACAAACAAAAACTTCAAAAATAACAACAAAATAAAATAAAATAAATAAAAAACCCCCTCCTTCCTCCATCTTTCCTGCCTCTTCAATATCTCTTTGTCCTAATGGCATAGGGAGCAGTGGTGTGTCACACAGTGTACTCTTTTCTCCAATTAGCTTTACTTGGAAAATGTTCATTGCAGTGAGTCACTGGTCTGGCTCAAAACCTCTGGTTTCTAGTACACCATCATCACTGGATCCTCACTGAAAATCCTCTCGTATATACTGTGGCTGCCTTGAGTCATGGAGTTCCTGCAGGTATACTTCCACAGGACCAGTTCCTTCACAAGCTCTAGCAGGTCTAGTAGGTCCTAGATGGGATAGATGTTAGGGTGGCCTAACCCAAGGCCGGACTGTGGGCCTGGGTGGTAGCTGTTCAGTCCAGGTCACTTGGGACTACCCCCTCAGGTGAGAGGCAGAGCCAGCTATTCTATGCCCATACCATCAGGACCAATTCTCCATTGCCTGTGGTGAGGGGTGGGTCCATCTCTCCTGAATGTGGGGCCAGCTCTCTTGCTGCAGTCAGTGTCTTGTGAATGTCATGGCCAACTTTCCCAGGGACATCAAAGGGTGAGGGCGGCTTAGCATGGCCCTCTGATTTCATCATGCATGGTTCCTATGGCCCCATGTGGTAACATGGGCCACAGACATTAACATGGACCCCAGCTGCAGCAGGACCACAGACCCAGATATGGCCCTCAGCAGCAGCTCAGGCCTGGACAATATGGTGGCTCTTGGTGGCAGCACAAGCCACTCAGATCAGGATGGTTCTGGTGACAGCACATCTCCCCAGGAACCAACAAGGCCACACATCCATATGGCCTTTGTTGGTAGCAGGAGCCTCAGACATCAACATAGACCCTGACTGCAGTAGGCCCACAGACCCAGACATGACCCTCAGCCTGTTCTGGTTATCACCATGGCATTAGGTAACAGCACAGGCCACTCAGATCTGTGTGACCCCATCTTTATTTTTTATTTTGTGTATGGGTAAACATTTTGCCTTCATTCATGTTGCTACACTATGTACTTCTAGTTCCCAAGAAGGCTAGAAGAGGGCATCAGCTCCCCTGATACTGGAGTTAAAATTGGTTGTGAGCTACCATGTGGGTGCTGGGAATGGAATTGGGCTACTCTGGAAGAACATTCAGTGCGCTTAATCACTGAGCAAACTCTCAAACCTTTCGCAATCACCTTTTGATTGTGCACCTTATACCCTCTAATTTAAACTCATTCTCCAAGTTCAAATACCAAACTTTTGAAGTTGTACCTTAGTCATGTGTATGTGGTGTGCACATATGCATATATCTGTGTGTATTTTCTGTCAGTTGAGAGTTTTCCATAATTGTATTCATGGAGATGATGATGACCAAAGAAAGAGATAAACTAGAATATGATGTACTTGGAATTCATATAATATTCCACTATAGCAATTATTACTACTTTTGAGGGCTTAGGATGTAACTCAGTCATAGGGGACTGCCTAGCATGTATAAGACTGGATTTGATTCACTAACCCCACAACTAACAAAGGTCTGATCTCCAAAATATATAAAGAACTCAAGAAACTAGACTGTAAAAGGCTAATCAACCCAGTTATAAAATGGGGTACTGAGCTGAACAGAGAATTCTCAACAGAAGAAGTTCAAATGGCCAAAAGACACTTAAGGTCATGCTCAACTTCCTTAGCGATCAGGGAAATGCAAATCAAGACAACTTTAAGATACCATCTTACACCTGTCAGAATGGCTAAAATCAAA